AATGGGGGTAGTTCTGGATGGGCAGCCGGTATCCTCCCAGCCTAACCACAAAATTTGGGACTAAACTCTGGATTAGTCAATGTTCTTTATAGCACTCGGAAGAAGGTAAAGAATAGGATACCTCCTATTTGACACAAAACAGTTTATGTATGTATATATATATATATTCAAATGATTTTAATTTCTTCACAATCCATATGCTCATTGTAATGAGAATGATGCTTTCTTAAATTTGAACTTTCCGTCAACAAAAATTTCATTTAGTTTTCTTAATTTTACTTTTGAAAGTTTAGTTTCAGGTTTAGTTAACTTTGTCTTTTATCTGCATTTTAAATAGCATTCACTTTAGTAGTTAATATTCAAACTTTGCACTTTACTTTTTTTTAGTTTAAACTATAATTATAATCTTAAGAACTATTTACAGGCATTTCCAACTTCCCTGTAAGATTGATATCTAAGACTCCATTATAGCCCTTTATTATTTGAGCGATATGTTTACTTGCATTATTTTTAAACAGGGATTTGACAGATTAAGAGAGTTTTAAAGATAAACTATTTTTATTAAATTTACTTTTGTTGGAATTACATTACATATTTATTATTATATTTGCCGTGTGTATTTTATAATATTAAAAATAATTGTAAAATTAACACACTAAATCTGCCCGCATCAATAACATCCTTACTCATGAAATTGAATGTGACTTTCATCATGTTGTAGAAATCATAGCCCTTTCGGATGATATGTTCCTCAACACATTTTAACATTTCAATTGGTCAGATCAAAAATTAAATGAAGATCAGAGTTCAAATCATCATAAATTTTTGACATTTAAAATCGTGTAAAACAAAATCAATTCTTCACAAAACCATATCTCAGAGTAGGGAGAAGGATAAAGAAGATTACTCAGAATTCATGAGAAGGAAACAACAAAACACGGATTTCACATATAAAAATAAGTTTACAAAATAAAGAAATAAAAGACACAACTTATCCACAATCATTCCCAAACAAATCTCTAGAATTTCTCATCTCTTGAAGTTCCTTTGAATCACTTTCCCTCTTTACAAGCACTCTCAATTCTCTATTGGAAATGTAATGAAGAAGAAATCTCTCACTTTTCCTCTCCTCTTACAACCCTTAAAGAAAATCTCCAAGTCCTTGACTCTCTCTCTCTCCACCAAACTTCTCTATATGCCACCCTCTTCTTTCTCACGCCACACTCATGCCCCAGACTCCTCTCCTTTTAATTAGTAGCCGCCTTCCTCCAAAAAGGATTCAAAATTCCCTTCAAAATTTTCTCCAAAAGTCAAACCTTTTGAATTTCGAAAAACATATTCATTGATTCAAGAGACATATCCCTTCATTAGAGAACCTTCCAAAGTGTCTAGGTGCATTGAATCACTCTATGGGGCATTTAAAACAGTTGGAGCCTTCAAAATCTGCCCAAAATTCATTCTGAACTGCCTTAATTCATTGGGTGTCGTCTCTAGCGCTTCAGGCACCAAGTTACTTTAGTTTGCGCTGTTTTTGGCACTAGCGCTTCAGTCACCGATTCAAGCGCTTCAGGTATTGCCTCTATTTATAATGTCACTTCAGGTGCCAACTCTCTGTAAAGTGATGCTTTAGGCGCCAATCTGGCACCTCAGGTGCCAAAATCACAAAATTTGTCATTTTAGCTCCAAATTTCCTCATTTTTGTTACTTTTGCTCCAAATGCCTAAAATTGATATACCTGCAACAAAAATATGAAAATACCCTTTTTTAAAGTGTAATATCACAAAAAATAAACATAAAATGTATACTTAAATTAGCACATTATTTTGGTGTATCAATAACCTATTGTACCTGTAATAAAATAATAATAATAAATCTTCCTTTAAAGTGTAACATCACTAAAAAATAAGCATTAAATGCATATAAAAAGAGTACATTTTTAGGCATGTCAGTAATACAAAGTGTTAATTATAAGTTTGACTAGTATCAAATAGAAACGACTCTCTTCTTATTTTGGTGTATCAATAACCTATTGTACCTGTAATAAAATAATAATAATAAATCTTCCTTTAAAGTGTAATATCACTAAAAATAAGCATTAAATGCATATAAAAATAGTACATTTTTAGGCATGTCAGTAATACAAAGTGTAAATTATAAGTTTGACTAGTATCAAATAGAAACGACTCTCTTCTTTACCCTCTTCTGAGTGCATAAAGAATATTGATTTTCCTTAAATCCCATTTTGAACCAAAAAAATATTATTTTCTTAACAATTACATTTCGTATGAAACATATCCACCTACACTCCACAATTCGATGTGACTAACCTTATTGATTTCACCACAGTTGTCCTAAGTCATTATGGTTCACAACACATTTTAACATTTCATTTGACCATAATGAAAAGTAAAAGAATAATTTATGGTTAATCATTACATTAAGTAATTAAAAATAATTTTGAAAACAGTTTTTCACTCCTACACATCCTACTTAATCATCACAAGGTAAGGTAAAGAGTACTGCTCAGAAAGCATGAAAGAAACAACAAACCAAATCATTGAAACAAGAGAATTCTACTATCCAAATGTTTACACTAACAATACAATAAAAAACACAATTAAACTTATCTTCTTCTCCTTTACAATGACCTGAATATGCTCCACCAATGCTCCTCTTGGCTCCTTGCTATTGCTCTTGAAGTATCTACCTATACTCTGCCCTAGAAGAAGAAGAAGGAGGAGATTCTACAACAAACTACAACTCACATAAATCTCCCTGAATTTACCAATTCTAAACCTACCAGCATCAATACTTTATGCACCCTTCAACAACCCCTGAAACCTCCCTTCCCTTCTTATAGTACAGACTCCTTTTTCCATCATAGTAGCCCACTTTAAGACTCCTAATAACTCCCCACGATAGGGTTCCAAATTGCTCAAAACGGCCTCTCGCAGTTGCTGGTGCCTAGGCACTAAACTCTCAGTTCACTGAAGTTTGCTTGGGCGCCTTAGCGTATTATTATTAATAAAATTTCCTAAAGAGTATGTTTTCTCTTTTAGGTTCTTATTTAGGTATATTATTATTATTAATAAAATTTCCTAAAGAGTATGTTTTCTCTTTTAGGTTCTTATTTAGGTATATTATTATTATTAATAAAATTTCCTAAAGAGTATGTTTTCTCTTTTAGGTTCTTATTTAGGTATATTATTATTATTAATAAAATTTCCTAAAGAGTATGTTTTCTCTTTTAGGTTCTTATTTAGGTATATTATTATTATTAATAAAATTTCCTAAAGAGTATGTTTTCTCTTTTAGGTTCTTATTTAGGTATATTATTATTATTAATAAAATTTCCTAAAGAGTATGTTTTCTCTTTTAGGTTCTTATTTAGGTATATTATTATTATTAATAAAATTTCCTAAAGAGTATGTTTTCTCTTTTAGGTTCTTATTTAGGTATATTATTATTATTAATAAAATTTCCTAAAGAGTATGTTTTCTCTTTTAGGTTCTTATTTAGGTATATTATTATTATTAATAAAATTTCCTAAAGAGTATGTTTTCTCTTTTAGGTTCTTATTTAGGTATATTATTATTATTAATAAAATTTCCTAAAGAGTATGTTTTCTCTTTTAGGTTCTTATTTAGGTATATTATTATTATTAATAAAATTTCCTAAAGAGTATGTTTTCTCTTTTAGGTTCTTATTTAGGTATATTATTATTATTAATAAAATTTCCTAAAGAGTATGTTTTCTCTTTTAGGTTCTTATTTAGGTATATTATTATTATTAATAAAATTTCCTAAAGAGTATGTTTTCTCTTTTAGGTTCTTATTTAGGTATATTATTATTATTAATAAAATTTCCTAAAGAGTATGTTTTCTCTTTTAGGTTCTTATTTAGGTATATTATTATTATTAATAAAATTTCCTAAAGAGTATGTTTTCTCTTTTAGGTTCTTATTTAGGTATATTATTATTATTAATAAAATTTCCTAAAGAGTATGTTTTCTCTTTTAGGTTCTTATTTAGGTATATTATTATTATTAATAAAATTTCCTAAAGAGTATGTTTTCTCTTTTAGGTTCTTATTTAGGTATATTATTATTATTAATAAAATTTCCTAAAGAGTATGTTTTCTCTTTTAGGTTCTTATTTAGGTATATTATTATTATTAATAAAATTTCCTAAAGAGTATGTTTTCTCTTTTAGGTTCTTATTTAGGTATATTATTATTATTAATAAAATTTCCTAAAGAGTTCTGTAATATATATACAGATTTTGTCATTGTGTGCAATGTATCGTGAATCTGCGAACAAATGTAAAACGGAAGGAAAGGTCAGACGTCTTCACATCGCCGCAGCTCAATTTTGAAATAGAGGAAACGTTTACTGTGGAAGCATCAGAAATCTCCAAGTTTGACAGGAAGGGTTGCTCATGGATGAAGAAGAGCACAATCACATACAACTCGAACGCAATTCGGACGGCAGCTCGAAGGAAGGAGCGAAAGGCGAGGATGACGAGGAGGAACTCGAGGCCGTGGAACTTATCCTCTTCCACGTCAAAGAGTGCTACGTCTATGTGGTATTACTCTAATTTCTAGCGCCGTGACCTCGATCTTAGTCATATTATCTCTTGCAATCGAGCAATGCCTTCCATTCCAAATGATATTCTTATCTCTGACACTTTGATTGACAGATACCGCCGAGAAAGACTGCTGCGTCTTATAGGTTTGCTCTGTTAGCCCACCCCATCTCTCGATTTGTTTTTGTGCTGACCTAATCGTTATGTGGTTAAGTAAGCGATGCTGCATGTGATGTTGAACTAGATTGAGATGAGTGCGGTGAAAATAGGTTTTCTTTTGCTAATTACTAAATTGTGCTTAGATTCTTTTGCGTGAACTAGGTTTATTCTTTGTTTGTTTATTTAGTGATGCTTAAACCATGAGAAGACTTCATCATAACAATCCAAACTCTGGTTCATTCTGTGCCAGTGAGAACGTTTCTTACTGCTCTAAAAGAATTCTATTTGATTCTTCAGGCTATTGCATGAAAAATATATTATCAAGCTGTTGGAACTTACTGCAATTAGTTCAAATATTTTTATCCTTGCTTGTTGTTGATTATGTTTTTTGTGCTTTGTTATACACATGCAAGCTGTCTGTATTATGCTTTGGTTTGCAAGTGATTAACATTTCCACATTTAGATCTTTTTTGTCACCTAAATGTGCTTTATAGATAGTCAAGTTCAAAAGATAGATAAAGGGTATGTTTGGGGCAGTTGCAGCTTATCAACTTATCAGTCTGCCTTAGGAAGATGTTGCGAATAAGCTGCTACGGGAAAACTGACTGATTGTTTTTTTTAACGGTTTGAAAACAATTGACTGTTTTTGGATAAATGACATTCTGCCCCTGTGCAGTGATGTTGTCTGCAACAGAGCTGTTATATTTGATACTTTAGAAACAAAAAACTAGTTCAGAACAGTATAAAAAATAAGATACACCTCACATTACAGTGATTACCAAGTGAACTAAAAAACAAACTAGTTCAGAACAGTATAAAAAATAAGATACACACCTCACATTACAATGATTACCAAGTGAACTAAAAAAACAAAAAAAAAAACTATGAAAATTACATTTAAATAAATGATAATATTAATTTTAAAATCCATCCGGCATATGTCCCGAGCTACGTCGCCCTCCGGGGATTCCATCCATCCCCGATCACTATCGGCAATAGAATCTACCGGAATGTCTGCCCACCGGAAGATGTCACACTTCTTCGGACCGTCTGCCTACTGCGGGCACTTGTAGAACTGCCTCCAGCAGCTATGTGCTCGACGTGACGACAGTAGAGAAGATTGTAGTCTGCAGTGGAAGAGCACTCGTCGGGAGGTCTATGAAATCCCGAAGTTCATCTTTCCCGAATGATTAAAAAGACAACCCATTATTCCATCAGTCACTAAAAAAAATGATAGAACTTATAAAAAAAAAGAGTTCTTGGTTGTCTTTAACCAATAAATTCTAGACATACAAGAAATTTGAGTACACTGTCACACCCACACAGCCTCATCCACAAAAAAATCAAGCCATACAATAAATTCGAGCCACACTGCCATATCAACACCAAATTGGAGCTAGCAAATTTGAGCCACACAACCACATACCACACATCCATACTACCGAACAACATTCACATCTAATATCACAAATCCAACGAACAAGCATTCACACTTATTAGAAAAGAAAAAATGCTTACCGATGGGGATTAGAGGAGGAAGACGAGAAAGAGGAACCAGATAGCATGAGAAACGCGAGAGAAGAGGAGGAAGAGGAACCAGATACGTGAGCAACGTCAGTGAAGAGGAGGAAGAGGAGGATAAGATCGCAGCTTCCTGGTCAGGGACGGGCTAAAGCCGAATGATTGGAAAGATAATAGAGGTCTGTAAAAAGCCAAACAGGGATGCTGGGCCGCAGGGTTGTCAAGTTGACCCACGTTTTGGTTAAAACACGGCAAGACGCGGTGGCACCGCCGCACCAAACAATCGAAAAACGCATAGCGGTACTGCACCGCTGCCCCAAACAATTCTTTTTGATTTTACGTTGAAGCAATCGGGACGAGGCTGCACTTGAAGTATTGATCAAAATTTTGGCAGAGAGACTTAGATGCGACTCATTAACTAGCATTTGAAGAAGGTTCTATTATCAAGATAATGGACGGAATGAAATATTATAAAGAGGAACAGTTTGGAAGGGAATAAATAACTTGAGGGTTTAAGTTTGTTTAGGTTATTGGTTAGAGACCTCAGCTCAATTATCTTCCATTAATTTGTTAGCAATAAATAATTGCCAAATCTATCAACGCCATCATTCTTTAGAAAAAAATAAGTAAAATATATTTTTGAGCTTATATGCATGTTGTAATTATTTTTCTTTTTTTTCCCAATATTGGAATTACAGGTGTCAATAAATTTTAGACTACTAATGAAACTAAGAACATTTATGGAAGCTAATGGAATATTTGCAATCATAACATTTTTGTTAAGATACATATTAACATGAGGCTTGAGCTTAGGGTCGGTTTGGGGCAGCTTGTGCGTTTCAGGATAAGCTGTTTATCCCAAAATGCGGCCCACGGGCCGGCCGCAGGGGTCGGTCCGCGACCAAAATGCGGCCCACGGGCCGGCCGCAGGGGTCGGCCCGCGACCTGCATTTAGTGTAAAAACCCAAATACAGTTTCGGATAAGCTGGCGAAACGCTCGAACCAAACGGTACGACAGTGTACGACGGTGTTTTGAAAACGCCGCCCGCACTTATAAGCTGCCCCAAACGGACTCTTAGTCTTCCATTAGATAGTTGACAAAAATGTTCATGTATAAATACCAAGTTGATATTTGTTTACATGGATTTTCACTTTTTCTAAATTATAAGTACTTCTTAAATGCGACTTGAATAATAAGAAAATCAAAATTACAATCGAAGAGTATATCAATGATTAAATTGCAATGACAAGCAAAATGTAGAAACCAAACTGCCATACAAACAACTAATGTTTTTTTCATGGTTTGGCCGTACATCCATGCTTATGTATTCATCATATCTATGGTTTTCTGCACACCCCACATTAAAATAATTTTTTGAATACTTTCACAAGTTAGACAAAATCTTACATCACTCTTCACTTTGGGACAACTTTCATTCCGCTGAGACAACCTCCTCATATCCCTCTCACCAAGGGTATTTTTTGTTGTGTTCTCCACCAAAACACGAAAAAAATACGGTATCAATGATAAAAAGAATACAAGAGAGAAAATGGCTTTATACATGTAGATCAAGATGTCAGCAAAAAATTGAGAGATTGCAGGATAATCAAACAAGGAAGCTTTTCTTCCTTTAAATATCAAATTTACATATGGTTTTTTGAGAGAAAATTTCTTGGTGGCTGATTTGAGGAGAATAGAGATGGGACACTTAGGGGCATGTAGCATTCACAAAAATAGCTTAGTCCCTTAATTGAATATTTATATAAAGTGACTAAGATTTCAACCAATTAATTAGAAATAATAAATCAAGTTCTTTTATATTTATTCCAACAACCATTGTTTAAAAATTGCATGACTATTCGTCTTAGTTTAATCTCGAACTCTTACAAACTAATTTCTTACATTTTGACGTTTGCGAAAGTCCACAAACATTTTGGAGGTTTGTAAATTAGTTTGCGTAGTCTCGTTATAATTATTTTTAGAAGTCCCATGTGTTGTTTAAAATTACTTGAGACCCGTTATAATTATAAGCCATAAGCCACGTCTCAACACAATTGAGCCCAAAATAGCATTGAGGCACATGCCTTAAGCAGCTCGGGCGAGGTGTACGCCTCAGTTAGATTGATGTGCATGCCTCATTTGTATAGGTTTTTTTCTATATGAGATAGTTCAGTAGACGACTTAATTTGACGCTATAACCCATGCTCGACCTGCATCCTCTCACGCAAGATCTCCCATTTCCTGTATCATGACATCTCAATCGACCATCCTAGCACTTTGCTGCTTAGGGTTTGCTATCGCGCATAAGCCAACTATTCATTGCACCGTCGCTGTCACTACCTACTGCTTCCGTCACCGTCGTCTCTGAGTTTTTCTTTTAGCACCACAACCGTCTCCACTTGTTGTTGCCATCATTGTTGTTAGTCATCATTGCTCCCTCACCAAATAGTCATGTTAAGTCTCACATGGTTTTAAATTTTCTAAAACTCTAAACCTAATTTTTTTTTAATTTTTTTTGAATATTTACATTGGTTCAAATTTGTTTGAATTTCGAAACAAATATTTCATTCTAAGGTTTATAAGAAATTGCTAGAGGTAAGAAGAAAGCTACAAGTGGTTGCCAAAATGATCTAGCATGGAGACATAGAAACAAATATTTCATTCTAAGGTTTATAAGAAATTGTTAGAGGTAAGAAGAAATCTACAATTGGTTGTCAAAATGATCTAGCATGGAGACATAGTATACAAGTCGATAATAAAGAAAATGATAATACATGTTTATTTAAAATGTATTTATTGTGAGAAGGTAGTTAATGGCGGTGAGGATGAAAGAACATCTCTCTGGCTCATGTAAAACTATAGTATCGTGTGCTAAAGTGTTAGAAGTAGTGAAAGAGGAGATCCAATCATACATGAATAAGTCGATATCATCAAAAGATCTTACTTAATGACTATTTATTGAAAGGATGATGTCTGCTATGAGAGTGAATCAATTGTCTGATACTCATCATACTTACAATCGATGTCTAGTAAACGTATAAGAAATTCCCTAAATCATTATTTGATAAATATGGAGGATGATATAAGTCATGGAGAGGACGCAGTTGTAGCTCAAATGTCTCCACAACATGTTAGAAAGGTACATAAACGCGTCTGCATGGATATTACGATATATTTTTTTTATGAGAGAATACATTCCACTTAATGTGGCAATCTCCCCTTCTTATTTCAATATGATTTGTTCAATAGGTGTTTATGATAGAGGCTTGAAAACCCTGTCCATTTCTGGTTTGAGGACATGTGTAAGGAGGAGAAGAGCAATACATAAGAAGGAATAGGATATTAAAATGACTAAGATTTAGACTGGGGTGACTATCATATCTGATGGGTGGCCAGACATAAAATAGAAATTTCCTTAATATTTTGTTTAATATATTCTACTATACATTTTTTATAAAATCTCTA